GAGCTTGACATTTTCATAGAGGAGACCTCCTTGGGTATGGGCCCAAAAGACCAGGTCCCAGTCTCAAAAGTTCCGTAGCTTGAAGATGAATGTATGGGGGGGGGGGGGGGGTGGAGTCCCCAGACGGTCTCTGGAATGGGGAATACGGTGGGCCTGTTTCACAGCAAAGTAGGGAGAAAACTGCACAAGGCAATAGTTGCTTAATGAGATTCTTGGTAAAGACTGTAAGATCTGCACCCTCTGAACCATCCAGAAAGCGCAAGATGTGCAAATGATTGCACCTATTCCAGTTTTCTGCATCTTCTGCCCTCGATTTCAAATATTTCACTTTGATTTTTAGGGTGTAGAGGTCTCCAGAGTGATCCCATTGCACATATTCAGCCGCAGAGACTCGCTGTTTCACCTCTGTCACACAGCCAGGGAAGGCATCCAAATCCTTATGTAGCAAGCCGATTTCCAGATGGACGTGATCCATTTTAGTTGTCAAGGTTGTCGGACATCCATTGATCGCCTGCAGAAGTGTCTGGAAATTGCTAGAAACCGTGGGCTGCAGTATCTATCTCCTTCTTCTGTGTGGCCATGCTGCAGGCCAGTTAGGCCTCCACTTCCGATAGTCTGTAGAGCCGGCTGTTTGTCGGTTGGGACCAGCACTGTGACCTCTTCACATGACCATAGGTGCCCAATGTGAAGTAGCAGCAGGGGAAAGTACTAAAAATTAGTCTGCACCGATCCAATAGCAGGATAAGTGAACTGGACCGTGGAGCCTCTTGATCAAAGTGTCCGCTCCTAGCTCCATTTTTGACACGCCCCCCAAAATTTTTACTTTAGTTTTAGTTTGAGTTCATTGGGCACTTTTCTTTTGGTCCTCCATGGAAGTAAATGCATGCATCAAAGTACAAATATACATTAAAATAGACAAAATTATAAATTATGTCTACATATTTAACCCAACTCTCCTTATGGACTGCAAAAAACAGTGAAAGTGTCCATTTCATGTGGTTCTGCACACCATTATATTCCCTAAAAGACTTAAATGCAAATTTAACTTATTGAAATGTTGTTACTTACAATACATTAAAATGGACATTAGATGGCGGTGGTCTGCCATTCAGGGTCACTCACAAGGACAGAACAGCTCTCTGGAAATTGTATGCTCCACAGCAGAGCTCACCTGGTGAGCAGGGCAGTCAGGGACTACATTTCACAAGAGGGTTGGCATGTGGGGGCGGGGGCATATACATATCAAAGCCCAGGAGATTGGCCAGGAGAGTGAGGGGAGAGACTGAGCGAGAAGTGTGCTGATGGCTGAAGTGCTGAACTAGGCCGTGGAGCCAGGGTTGGAGAGAGAGGAAGATCAGAAAGCGACTACTGACCACCCCACGCTGCCCAGCAGGCCAGTTTGACAGCAGGAGGCCAGATGGGACACGGAGTCTGAGCCGGAGAGTCCATGGACTGACCCCATTTGCAGAGAAAGACAGGCCACTATGATCTGCTAGACTACTTTGATCATGTGAGAGAGACCCATGCACCCACTAATCAAGTGAATACTGACAGTTTGCAACCTCAGCTATGTGCTTACACATAGTTGTGAACATTACATATAGTTGCTTCTGTTTTTGGCCTATTTCTCACAGCCACCATCATTAACAAACATCTACATTACAGTTTACTGTACAAGCTGACCGCAGGGCATACAGTTGCAGGCCAGGATACAGCAGTGCCAACTGAAACAACAAGTTTCCCTTCTTCAACTAAGCAGGATTCCCATTATTGTTGATTTTTGCTTTGATGTACAGAGGGAGCTGTCTATGCCCTTAGACATTTATTACAATTGTTGCTATTCATTACTCCAAGCCTGCCCATGTTTAGTGCTTTAAAGGGGACCTCACCATAATTCGCTACCACCAAAAGGAAAAGTGTTACATCTCCCTTGTCCCTTCACTATTCTTATGTTACCATCCCAAGAAACTATATTCCACACCTCAACTCAACTTCATGCCAACTGGGCCCCAACAAGCATGCAGAAGACATTGTAATGGACAGTGCTCAATTTTACATGAGAATTCTCTTTAGTTCACATCTAATCATTGTCATCTAGTTCTGAGGACCCACAGTGAGCTTACCTGTTTCTTGATAGTTGTTTCTGCTCACTGGCAATTCAGCAGTCGCCTCAGATTGGAGGCAGTGGATTATTTCTGAAAGAAGGTCTCCTAACAGTTATTGTTACTTTACTGTGAATGTTGTTACTTTTGCTCACAACGGCCAGGAGTGATTATATTTTCTGCATATATCAGTGTCATTTTGCTCATTTTGACCAAGTTCCCTTTAATTCCAATGTAAACTTCATATTGGTTTATCAAACAATAGAAGAGAAAAATTCCCAGCTCAACTTACCGACCAGTTTGTGAACAAACCAAATTGTCCTGTCTAGTAGTATGCATTAAAAACAGGGGTTTAGTTAGCGCACATTTGCAAATACATGCGTAAGCTGCAGAGCCTCTTCACAGGACCTCAATATTCTGCAGTTCCTAACTAAATGTTGAGAGCCTCCTTAGTAGAAGCGCATGTATAGGTGGATAGACTGAGGGAGCTCACCCCTCCTTAAAGGTACAGGGGCGCAGTGGACACCCAGGATATAGCACAAAGGCAGCCAGGGTGTCCAGTGCACCCTCTCACCAGCATATCAACAGTACAAAAAATGGCCACTGCCCCAATCTATAACTGGCCTTTACAGCAAGGAGCACATGGAAGGGCGACATGAGTCCATTTTACAGTTGTGATTTACTTTGGTCACGAGAGCATGGTGGTGTCAGTGGAGGTTGAGCTTTCAACAAGAAGTTCAGACTGACCGGGAACCCAAAAATTACTAAACAACCCTTAAGGGGTAGTACTACACAAGAATGTGGAAAATGCCCTATGGCATTCAACAACCAAAATTTGCAACAATATGTACTTCATAAATGACCTTGGTTTTGTCCAAAAAGGTGAATGTCCATCACAAATAATCCAAATGGTCAGTCATTTTCAACCTTTTGGAAAGACAAGTAGAGCTGAACAAGGGCATGCTATACCTTGACGTCTGCTAACAAGGATGGGCAATTGTGGAAAATAGTGTCCAGTTGATGTAATGGAAAGCTCTATTAGGCTACGTTCACACTAGCGTTGTGTGCAGGCGGCAGAGAGGCATTTGGGAAGCGTTTTTACCGCTTTCCAAATGCCTCTGCCAATTCTGCACATTACAGCACATGGTGCTGTTCTAACGAGAGCGGTTGCGTCGCGTTGCGTCGCGGCAAAACGGACACCTCTGGTTGAGCCAGGAGGCGTTGAAGCCTCCTATTCTAGTCTATGGTGCCGCTCAGCAAACGCCCGGCTGGCGTTTGCGGTGTGGTTCCGATGTGGTTGTGGGGCGTTTGCGGAGCGGTAACACCATTCAAACTGCATTATAGGCGTTTGTGGGGCGTTTTTAACGCTCGGCAAACGCCTAGCAAACTCCGCTAAACCACACATGCGGCGTTTGCCGAGCGTTAAAAAACGCTCCGCAAACGCCGGACCAACGCTTGCCAAACGCTATAGGGGCGTTTGGCAAGCGTTGGTAAAACAGCCAAGTGTGAACGAGCCCTAAATTAGTTGCTGCTGGCAAAAGTTGTTAGTAAAGTATTCCGGAAGCACCCTCCATAGTATAGCCAGAATGTGAGTATGTGCTCACCAAACGGACCAAGCAAATTTTCCAAAGTTCAATTCGCCCAGAGTTTGCCTAATTCATCTAAAAATGGGCTGATTTTGAACATTGCAGCAATTATCATTAAAGTCAATGGAGGTGAGTGGCTTTTGATATTCAGGTGTGGCTTGGTTTGCCACCTCATCCCTTTAAAACCGAACACATATTAATTAAACAGGTTCTGTGGCTGATTAGGTGGTAATTAAACTCACTTAGTGCTTTATCTGCATTATGTTAGCCTCAGAACCTGTGTATATAATATATGTCCGATTTTAAAGGGATCAGGTAGCAACCCTAGGTGTGGCCCTCCTCATTGAGCTACTGACATCAGGAATGGTTGGATAGAAAATAGCCAGTGGAACCACAATTTAAAAAGAGCACAAACAGGCCTAAATGGTATGTTTATAAAAACCTTGCCTTTAGACAGGTTCATGCTGGTGAGCAGCATTTTGGGTGCAGTGTGATTTTATGTGTGTTTACATGTGATTTTAGGGTGCTCCTCATGGCTTCTATTAGACTGGCATCAAAGTCCTGCATACTGCATCTTTGATGCACTTTCAGAAAACACGCATTCTAATAAAAATGAATGGGAACACATTTAGAACCTGTGTAAAATACACATATAATCATGAGGTGCCCAAACTGCGGCTCACTAATGTGAATATGGCCTTAGACTTGTATGGGTATGCATTTGCCAGTGTCAGCACAGTTTGGCTACAGTGACAACAGACCTAAATGTCAACACAGAAAGCACAGGCAGCTGTTTTTTCCTTTTAGAACCACCGCCCTGGGTTTTGGGTGGGTAATATTAGTCTGTGTCCAAATGGAAGAAAAATATATTTGAAATACAAAATATATGCTATATATTTTTAAAAATACATATCAAATATACTGTATGTCTTTAACCACTTGCCTACAGGGCACTTATACCCCCTTCCTGCCCAGGCCAATTTTCAGCTTTCAGCGCTGTCACACTTTGGATGACAATTGCGCGGTCATGCAACACAGTACCCATATGAAATTTTTATCATTTTTTATTTAGACAGAGCTTTCTTTTGGTGGTATTTAATCACCTCTGGGTTTATTTTTTTGCTAAACAAGCAAAAAACAACTGAAAATTTTTGAAAAAAAAAGTTTTTCTTAGTTTCTGTTAAAAAATTTTTGTAAATAAGTGATTTTTCTCCTTCACTGATGTGCGCTAATGAGGCTGCAGTGAGGGGCAATGATAGGCAGCACTGATGAGGAGGCACTGGTAGGTGGCACTGATGGGCATTGACAGGCATCACTGATGGGCACTGAAAGGCAGCAGTCGTATATGGCACTGATAGGCGGAAATGACTGGCAGCACTTATAGGTGGCACTGACTGGCACTGATTGGTGGCAATGAAAGGCAGCTCAGATGGGCACTGATATGTGGCATTGATGTGCACTGATACTGTATGTGGCACTGATGGGCACTGGCAGGTGGCACTGATGGGGCTACACTGATCATCAGGGCACACTGATCATCATGGGAACACTGATCATCAGTGCCCTGATGATCAGTGTACATGTCCCCTCTGAATAATGCCAACTACTGGCTCTCTGCACGAGCTGTCAGCATGACAGCTCGTGAGGCAAGAAATGCCGATAACCGTCATTTCCTTATTTACATGCGATCAGCTGTGATTAGACACAGCTGACCACATGACAGAGCCTACCCCCGATCGCCGCGCTGGACACACGTGGTTAGAGTGGGAAGACGTCATATGACGTCCTCCCAGAACAAGAGAACCGTCTTGCGTGAGTTATATCCTTATATGGCGGGCGGGAGGCAGTTAAATTGTAATGTGTGTTTTGTTTTTTTTTTAGGTTATTTATTTTTTTTATATTGTAAATTTTTTATTAAGGGCCAGCGCACATTTTTTTAAAACAGAACATAGTTACAACAGCAACACTTTAAGTGTAAACGTTGCAATGAAAAAAAACATCATTAGCATGAAAGAAAACAAAGTCAGGAGAAATATGAACATAGATAAACAGTATGGTAATCTGCACAATTCAAAAACATAAATCAACGTAAACCTGCACATCACTGGATTACATTATTTGTCATAGGCATGTTACCTGAAAAAGGGTCTGGACTATATAAAAGGGGGATGGGAGAGGAAGGAAGTCTACCAAAGGGAGAATGATCCCAAAGCTGCCAAACAGAGTGAAAGTGACCTGAGTGTTCACCCATTAGAGCTGTAAGATATTCCATTTCCTGTTTTTAGAGATCGCTCTTAAAAGATGATTTAGCGTGGGAACATCAACTGATTTCCAGTCATGGTATCACCCTTCTAGTGGCCATCAGAATATGCACTCCCAACCTCTTAGATTGCTTGGGGATACCCCTAAAGGGTAGCCCCAAAAGATAGTGTAGCGGGTCTAGAGGTAAGATAACATTGAGTACTTGTTCCAATACCTTTCTAACCGTAGCCCAATAACTCGCAATCTGTGGACAAAAAGATATGTGCCAGTGTACCTACTCCTCCCATGCATCTCCAGCACTTGTCAAACAGATTTGAGTTGATCGCATGGAGCACTGCAGGGGTCTTATACTAATGCATCAATATTTTATATAAGTTTTCCTTATATACAACACAACGACAGTTCTTAGCAACAGAATCCCATATCACCTGCCAACATTTCAAAGAAATTAAGCATTGGAGTTCATCCCCCATCTCTTCATATAACGGTGAGGCCTCTCTACAAGAGCGTCTTTGAGAAGCAGTTTATATAGAGAGGTGATAAGATGTTGTTTGGAGGGACCTTTAATAGCTATCCTCTCAAAATCTGTGGGGAGATCTAGCGTTAAAGAGGAATTCAAGGAATGGAAGAAATGACAGAACTGTAAGTAGGTGTATCTGGCCGATACAGGTATTGTGGATTTCCAAGCCCCTAATCTCTTCAAATGACCAAATCCTGCACAAGACAGAGTTGAAATATCCCACTGAGTGCCCAAGGGCTCATCTGTGGGTAGGACAGACTATCTGGGAGCTCCGAATTAAAAAATGTTTAACAATGGAGAGTACATGGACAGTAACTGCTGTGATTTCACACAAGTTGACCAAACTTTGAGGAAAATTTCATAGATTCAAGCAAAGAGAGGGGGGGGGGGGGGGATGGAGGCAATGTATAATGAAAAGGGCATAGCAATGAACATGTGTGGATCGGATAAATATAACCTAATTCAATCTCCGCCCATCTATTCTGATGTTTTTGGGTGAACCATGATAGCGGTTGTCTCAGATGAGTAGCTAGATAGTAATTGATAACATCTGATACTCCTAAGCCTCCGTTATTTCTAGATGACAAAAGAACTGTTCTCACTATTCTGGGCCTTCTAGCATGCAAATTAAATGTAAGAAATGCTCGTTGTAGAGTTGCAGTTGAGCATGAAGGATTGTGATTGGTAGAGTTTCAGAAAGGCAAACTAGCTTTGGCAAAATTGACATCTTTAAGACATTTACTCTACCCAAGAAAGATATCTTATAAGAATCCCACTGATTTAGAAGTGCATATATTTCCTGAAACAGTGGGGGGTAGTTAGCTTCAAGCAACTGAGCATGAGTTGGGGAGCATGAGTTGGGGTTATATGGATACCAAGGTATTTAATAGATGACATGCACCAGTGGTTTGAGTAATTTTGTTGGAGCAGTGAGAGATCTTGGGATGGGATATTAAAGGGCATAGCTTCCATCTTTGAAGTGTTTATTTCATAACCAGATAAATCACTCTAGGTTTGTAAAAGTTTATGCAATGCAGGTAATGATAAGTGAGGCTTAGTTATAATCAATAAAACGTCATCCGCAAAAAGTGAGAGTTTGTATTCTTTCCCCCTCACAGTCACTCCTGCTATATCAGGGTGTGCTCTGATCGCTACTGCTAATGGTTCACGACATAACACAAATAGGAGTGGGGACAGAGGGCAACCTTGTCTTGTTCCGTTGATCATGGGAAAAGTATCGGATGTGGCATAGGGGAGCTTGACCTGCACAGTAGGCCGTGAATACAATGCCGTAATAGCATTTTAAAAAGGCCCTTGTATTCCCACATGTCTTAGTATTTCAAACATATAAGGCCATCCCAACGGGTCAAATGCCTTCTGGGCATCTAAATTTAGCAACAGTGCCGGTGTTCGTGAGCCATGAAGTACATCAGCTAAGTTGATCGTACATCTAGTGTTGTCCCCTGCCTGTCTCGCTAAGACAAATCCCACATGATCGTTATGGATAATTCTGGGAAGCAAAGGAGCCAAACAATTTGCTTAGAGTTTTGTAAAAATTTTATGATCCATGTTTAATAATGCTATGGGCCTGTAGTTAGCTGGGGTCGTTTGCCTGGTTTGGGAATGACTGTGATATGAGAATGTTGAAATTGCAAATGAGGTGTTTGTTTCTCCGTTCAGCACAGAGGAGTAAAATTCCAATAAGGCAGGGCCAATATCTGCGATGAATTGCTTATAATATGTGTAGGAAAACCCGTCTGGTCCCGGTGCTTTGTGCGACGGTAGCTCTTTAACAACTGCACATAGTTCCTCCATAGTAATAGGTTTGTTTAGGATTAGTCTATCTTCCCTTTTCACTTTAGGGAGATGAAGAGCCGAGAAAAAAAGCATCAAAAGAATACTTATGAAAATGGGGGTGTATGTCTGGTGATAAGCAGTTATAAAGCTTTCAATAGAAGTCTCTGAACACTTGGGTTATCTGTTGGGGGCAAAACGTAGGGGTGCCATCTGTTTGAAACAAAAATTCAGGAGCGGAAGTTGTCGAATGTGCTTTAATTTTTTTAACCAACATCCTATGAGGTTTATTAGTGTATTGATAAAACTTCTGTTTCATTCATAGCAGTTTCTTCGCTATAAAACTAGCCTCAAGTGTCTTAAGTTGATCTTTAAGTTGTACCACTAATCGAAGTTTAGGCAAAGAGGGTGAATCTATAAGTTTTTTTGTTTTTTTTTTTTTTCCGCTTGAGATAATTGGTTCATAAGGTCAGTTTTCTGGTGAGGCATAGACTTCTTAAGACATGAGCTTTCCATTATAAAGCGACCCCTAATAAACTCTCTGTGGACTTCCCACAGAGTTGAGGATGCTGACACCGATCCTGTATTAACTAGTTGCCGACCGCAGATAGCCGAATGACGGCTGCACTGCGGCCGGCCAGTTCTGGGTGGACGTCATATGACATCCTCCCAGAACGCGCTCTCCTGCGCGCCCCTGATCTACAAACAGATCTAAAGCCAAAAAAGAGTGGTCCGACCAGGAGCTGGGGACAATATTGGAGCTAACTGTCTGTTTAAGTAGGGGGGATGAAAGTAAAAAGTAATCTAGTCTGGTGTAGATGTGATGCACTGGGGAGAAGAACGAAAACTGTTTAGCACATGTTTGGAGGGCAATTGGCCCAAAGGGATCTCCTATCGCGTGCAGCTGACATGGATGAAATTAAAGTCCCTGCCAATGATCGTGAAAGGGTGTGATGAAACTAAAAATGGAGAAATAGTATCCTTAAAGAACACCAATTGATTGGCGTTTGGAGCACAAGCATTAATGATTGTAATATAGACATCACCATATTGACATTGCAGTAGTATAAATCTACCTTGTGTGTGTCTAGTATCGAAGATACCACTCGGATAGGACAACCTTTTTTCATCAGAATAGCGACACCTGCTTTACCTGTGCTGTCCAGAGCAGAGTATGCTATAGAAAAATATGTGAGGGCAAGTTAAACAAGCTTCCCTTTTTGAAATGTGTTTCCTGGATAAGGATAATATCAGCTTTAGACTGACGGAATTCCCTAAGAGCTATCGACCTCTTCCTCATTGAATTTAAACCTTTAACATTGCAAAAGTATAGTCGTAAACACATGTTGGTGTAATCTGAACATTAAGCAAATGTATGCAGGGTAATATGACAAATAAACAATGCTGTTCCGACAAAGAATAACACAAAAAACATTAACTGAGAAAGACTCATCTAGTGCGTCTCAACAAAACTAGCAGACATAGAACAAACAAATCGAGAAAGGATTTTCAAACAAAAATATGGAGGAGGCCTGAGCAGCCTAGGCCACCCAGGCATTTAAAGCAGTAGCTTTAGATGTTTGGGGACGACATAGGGAGGGTGAAGGTCTGGCGGTGACTTCACTTCTCTCTTCCACAATATTATGCAAATTATATTTTTCACATTTACCTAAATAATTGATGTAAATAACAGTCAGCATAATTCTCATGTCATCAACTATTAAGAGTACAATTCAAATTTTATTGAACAAACCTCCTAATGATAACAGGATTTTTTTTAAACATAAAAAACTTACAATGCACTATTCCAAATTATTGCGCACAGTAAGTTTCAAAACACTTTATAGGTTTTAAAGAACTGAAAATTGTCATTTGTTGTGTTTGCAGCATATTTCCTGAAATCAAAAGCTATTTCAATCAAACTTTTAACAACATTTTAACTTTTTAAACATTTTAACAGGTTATGTTACATTTTAACATAGGACCCCTTATTTGATAGCAGCTTCACAAGTCTTGCATCCATTAAACTTGTAAGTTTTTGGACAGTTTCTGCTTGAATTTGTTTGCAAGATGTCAGGATAGCCTCCCAGACCTGCTGTTTGGATGTAAACTGCCTCCCACCCTCATAGATCTTTTGCTTGAGCATG